TGTTCCCTGCCTCCCTTTCAAGGCGCCCCACTGCCCCGGGCCAGAGGCGTCACCTGATCTCGATGGGCACCCCCGGGTGGCAGTGCCTCCGCTTACAGTACCACAGCAGGGCCCAGAGGAGCGTGAGCAGCAGGATGAGGAGGAAAATGGAGCCCAGGACAGATCCCACGATGAGCCCCACATTCTTTGAGCCTGCCGAAGGGGAACAAACCCGTCACCGTCTCCCCTTCCCACGCAGGGCTGGGACCTGTGCCCAGAAAGTGCCTCAGGGACGCCTGTCTGCTGAGCCCTAGCGATTCCTGCCCGCCGGGCACCGGGCCGGATTCATTGTCTGCCCCATGGGCACCACCTGCCAGGCTACTCAGGAAGCCCATATCACCCATAGGGCCCTGCATGGACCACAGATGGGTCAGTGCATTAGCCTGGAGCTTTGGCTCAGACCCACGAATCTGCCCTCCCAGGCAGCTGGCTCAGCCCCGTGATGGGGAAAGGAATCGGGGGAATCTTCAGGTCTGTCTACGGGAAAATGGTGTAGGGAGTCTCCATTGAAGGAGGATTAGAGTTATAGAGTTTAGGGCTAGAACAGGGGTGGGGGGAACCTTTTTGGATTGGGGGCCGCTGACTCAGAAAAATCAGCTGGGGGCCACACACAAGAGAGAAGCAAAAAAGCCCCCCAAAAACAAACCTTCCTTGACATGGCCCCCAACTCAAAAGGCCACACCAGAGCCAATGCGGGGGCCCAGGCTAGAAGATTTTGTGTGCTCCAGCCCCACGGGGGAATGGTGGAGGAGAGGGGTTGGAGTGCCAGCACGCACTCCCCAGTACTGCGGGGGGAGAGTCCCAAGCCTCGGGAGTCAGATCCAGGCAAGCTGGAGGCAGCATCCGTCCCCCAGGCCTTGTGTTTCCCACCCTTGGGCTAGAAGAACCCATCAGGTTGTCCAGCCTATCACAGACGTCCAGACCTCCCCACACAGCACCCCGATATGAGCCCACGCACTGGGATTCCACTTGAGCATCAGCCTGCCAAAGCTTTGGGGTGCCAGACCCACTGCCCAGGAGGGGCCGAGTCTCCATTGCTCCCCAGGAGGCTCCAGACTGTCCAAGAAGGAGGGTGGGGTCCAGTGTTGGGGGCTGAGCTCTGTTCAGGCTGCCCCTCGCCCTGATGTTTCTGGACAGGCCCATCCTCTCAGGTTGCTCCCAGCACCGGGTTGGTCCCGCTCCCAGCCCACCCTGGGGCCAGGGGCCTCCAGGAACTAGACCCTCTGGTCCTGCCCATGCTGCCCCACAGGCTGCTCTGCGGCTGCCCCACATTCTGGCATTGTGCCCCCCAGTCCTACCTGAGTAGCCGGGGCGAGAGACAGAGACGTGCACCATGCACTGGTTGGATCCCACCCGGCTGGTCACGCGGCAGCAGTAGGTCCCGGAGTGCTCCTGTGAGAGATGCTGGATCACCAGGTCCCCAGAGCCTTGTGCTGCAGGAGAGATGGAGCCCCGTGAGCCCCCACGAACTGCACCCCCCATGGTCAGCTCACCAGAGTGGGCCCCTCACCCTCTGCTTACCCTGCACTGCCCCGGAGGGCAGCCAGCTGCTGGCATAGTTCCCCCCCATCTTGGACCACTGGTAGGAGACGGGCACAGAGCCTCCATTTGAGGAGCACTTGAGCGTGAGGTCCTGGCCCCAGACCGGCTCCCCCTCCAGCCAGCACTGAGGCGCCGCCGGCTTCTCTGGGGAGAGAACACAAGTAGCGGGGAGGGACCAGCCGGCACGCTGTGCTCCGAGGTAGGCAGGCTTGGGGTGGCCAGGCTGGGGGACTGAGGTCAGCACCTGGGGGCTGGCAGGCAATGTCGGTGGGCGGGGGTCGGCACATGGAGGCTGGCAGGTGGACCAGCACATGAGGGCTGGAGGCAAGATCAGATCTGTCTGTCCACATGGAGTGGTGGTCAGGGACAGTGGGCAGAGGTAGGTCATGGTGAGGGGTTGGGTTAGTGATGGGTGGGTCAGTGTTGGAGTTTCAATCTGTGGGCAGAGTGAGGTTGTAGGGGTTGGGTTGGTGGGTGGAGTTTGGGTTAGTGGGTGGGGTCGGTGAGTGGGACTGGGTTAATGGTTGGGGGTTGGGTCAGTGGTTGGGGTTGGGTTAATGGTTGGGGGTTGGGTTGGTGGGCAGGGTTGGGTTAATGGATGGGGGTTGGGTTAATGGTTGGGGGTTGGGTCAGTGGTTGGGGTTGGGTTAATGGTTGGGGGTTGGGTTGGTGGGTGGGTGGAGTTTGGGTTAGTGGGTGGGGTCGGTGAGTGGGACTGGGTTAATGGTTGGGGGTTGGGTCAGTGGTTGGGGTTGGGTTAATGGTTGGGGGTTGGGTTGGTGGGCAGGGTTGGGTTAATGGATGGGGGTTGGGTTAATGGTTGGGGGTTGGGTCAGTGGTTGGGGTTGGGTTAATGGTTGGGGGTTGGGTTGGTGGGCAGGGTTGGGTTAATGGATGGGGGTTGGGTTAATGGTTGGGGGTTGGGTCAGTGGTTGGGGTTGGGTTAATGGTTGGGGGTTGGGTTGGTGGGCAGGGTTGGGTTAATGGATGGGGGTTGGGTTAATGGTTGGGGGTTGGGTCAGTGGTTGGGGTTGGGTTAATGGTTGGGGGTTGGGTTGGTGGGCAGGGTTGGGTTAATGGATGGGGGTTGGGTTAATGGTGGGTTAACGGATGGGGGTTGGGTCGATGGACTGGGGGAGTAGCAGGGTCAGTGGGACTCACTTCACAGAAGGATGGTGGCCTGGCGGGTGTTAGGAGGGGTTGGGGTTGGCTTAATGGGTCAGTGGGTGGAATTTGGATCAGTGGGTGGGGTTGAATGAAGGGGCTGGAGGATCTGTGGGTCAGCAGGGGGGGTGAAATTCACCTGGCATGGCCTGGGGGCCCTGCTGGTTGTCAGCAGGGATTGGGGTTTGGGCAGTGGGCGGTCAGTG